GAGTTGACTCAATCGATTCAAAAGGTTGCAATGGAATTATGAGCAATGTTTCAAGAAAACAAATCAATCATTACACCGCTAATGCTTACATATACAGTCATGCTGTCAAAAACTTGAATACTTTATATCAGGAGTCGCAACCCAAATGTTAAGAAGAGCCATTTTGTCCTTTCAACAAAAATCAAACCACCTTGGCTGTTCCTTACCTCTTGACTGTAAATATGTCTCAGTATGTGCTAATGTCCTAGTATAGGCTATCAAATTTAATACAAATGAAAACTTTAGCTCAGATATAGCCACTTTTCTCACATCTCTGACAGGATACTTTTCCAAAAAGGTGGAACAGTTATTGTAAAATGTCTCTCAACTGTTAATTTTTTTTACCAGGTGTCTCTTTCGCCAGCTTCTTGTTCGAATTTTCCCATTTCACCTTAAATGGTGCCTGAGGCGCCAGTATGTAACTGCTGCACCATTTAAGGTGAAACGGGAAAATTAGAATGAGAAGCTGGTGAATGAGAAGCTGACCTTAGCTTCACGACCTTTTAATGTTTGACAGTTTCTCATTGCAGATTAAACGTATCAGGAAACCAGCTGGAGTGATTATGAATGCAGGTAAGTACATCCGATGTTCAACAATCTCTAGCTAGGCCAGACTGTTGTCTGCATTGCTATGGTGTCCAGCAGTTTAAGGCCATTTATTGTTAACACTGTGTTAGAACGATCAGCAGAGCTTTATTTTACTGCAAAGGAGGATTATTTTATTTTTACCTGAACATCTAATTTTTCTGTGGAGCCACAACAGGGCAGTAAAAGAGCCACATGCAGCTCTTGTTACCTCAAAAATGCATCCAGCAGGGATTTCTTAATCGCCAAAAATGTCCAGTATTCAGCTTTGACTTGATACGATCACCTGTTAATTGTGTGCATGTTTGCATTGCTTTGACCTTTCTCTTTTGGTCCCATCCTCTCGCACGCCACCATTGGTCAGTCATGTACACGCCCTTCACACAAACATTGGTCAAACTGCATCTCTATCATTACCCTCAGTACCACTGCAACAGACAGAGCTGCTTGTCGACAGCAGCTCATGGTGCCTGAACAGCTTATAAATGTCCAAACGGAAACACAAATTCACAGACGAATTACAGAAGAAAATCACATTTTCATTTTGGTTGGGGTCAGTGACAAATAAAGGTGCTGGTGATCTAACAGCATACCTAAGCACATCAGGAGGAATGAAGTGTCTAGTGCAGGGGTGCACAGCTCTGGTCCTGGAGGCCCAGCATCCAGCACAATTTGGTGATTTACCTGGTTGAACATACTTGATTCAACTCATCTGTTAATCGCCAGGTTTAGTGGGTGTGTTCGAGTAGGGAAACTACCAAACTGTGCTTCATTACTCAAAATGTCTCAGTACTGAAATTCCAAATATATGTCACATAGTGCATGGTCAAGTCTTTTTAAACGACAATATAATGAGATGTTATAAAGACACCAAATAGGTTTCTTTATGTTCTTTATGTTATTTATGTCCTTCCTTAAGAGTCCAACTTGGTATTCAAAGTTAACCCCTTAATCCCAGGCGTATTACATACTAAGCCTTATTATTCAGTAGCCAAGGGGCTTCATTGTAAACTGCTTGAGCTATTCTTAGGCTATAGAAGTGTGTAATACAACTTTGGGCCTGCTGGCAGGCCCAGGCCATTTAAGGGGTTAATTTAAACCTTTACTAAAACAATCAAATAAACATCAGGCTAAACAAATAGCCATTATTATAATTATTATTGTTTAAACTATTATTCATTATAATATAGAACTATTATAAGCACTCTCCTTGAAATGAATGCAGGCCAATTTTGCATGTGTCTCAATAAATGTTACAATGCCATGGCTATTCTTAGTGTCAGTGGATAGCATAGTGTTGCCGTGGTTGCCCCATATGTGGGAGAACAGGGTTCATGATCCACTTCATATATGCCAATATATTCAAATACATTCAAATATATGTAGATGGAATATAAGTAATGGAGTCATTATTAAAAGTGTATATAAATATAGAAGAATATGCCAACCAGCCACTTCACTAAGCACCTCCCTGTACCTGTCTGTAGTTTATCCGTTTCTTCACATACTTTGTTACCCTGTTCAATGGTCAGGACCCCCACAGGACCCTCACAGAGTGGGTATTATTTGGGTGGTGGATCATTCTTAGCCCTGCAATGACACTGACGTGGCAGTCGTGTGCTCTGTGTGGACACGGTGGTCCTGTGAGGGTCCTAATGACCACTGGAAGGTATGCAATCAAATGGAAATAAACATGCTTCTGAGAAGGACATTGGAACAACAGAAGCGATGAGGAGCAGAATAGAAGAAAAGAACACCACAGCAACCCACCGGAGCAAGACAGCAGGAGACGTGGAGGTGCGGAACGAACGATGATGGAAGAGGGGAGGGCAAGAAGGAAGGAAGGAAGGAAGGCATGGGAGGAGGAGTGAGAAAGGGGAGGCACACCCGCATAATTAACAGTGGCACGCTGCAGCCAATTAAATATTTACAGAGGCGCTTCCCTCCGACACCTCGGTGATGAAGAGAGGCAGCCAGAGGATTATCAGATGCTAGAAGCCTGGGGCAGGAGAGGATTAAACATTAACTGGCAGATAGATCCCCTTTTCTTCCACGCCTGATCCCATTAACACTGGCCAGGCTGCATCGACCCCTCTCCCTTCCCCCAGTCCACCCCCACTCCACACATACAGACAGTTTTGTTTTTATATCTTGTCAGAAAGTAGACTTAATACATATGTCCTACATGTATTATGTGCCGTTATCTATATGTTAATATAGATATATAAGCCCCATGCATTATATAGTATATCCCATTCTAAATCCGTAGACATTAACATGGAGTTGGTCCCCATTCTTCTGGGAAGCTTTCTACAAGATTTTGGAGCGTGTCTGTAGGAATTTTTGCCCATTTGTCCAGAGGAGCAGACACTGATGTTGAATGAGAGGGCCTGGCTCACAATCCCCGTTCAAATTCATCCCAAAGGTGTTCGATGGGGTTGAGGTCAGGGCTCTGTACAGGCCAGTCAAGTTCTTCCACACCAAACTCACCCAACCATGCCTTTAGGGACACAAACTGTTCCCACAAAGTTAGAAAACGTACAATTGTCCATAATGTCTTGGTTTGCTGAAGCATTAAGATTTCCCTTTACTGGAACTAAGGGGCCTGGGTCAACCCCTGAAAAACGACCCCATAGCATTATCCCTCCTCCACCAAACTTTACAGTTGGCACAATGCTACTTGGTCGCCCCGCTCTGTGGGTTTGTGCTTCATGGCTAAGCTGCTGTTCCTCCTACATGCTTCCATTTCACAATAATAGCACTTACTGTTGTCCGGGGCAGATCTAACGGGACAGACATTTCACCAACTGACTTGTGGCAGAGGTGGCATCCTATGACAGTGCCATGTTTAAAGTCACTGAGCTCATCAGTACGACCCTTTCTACTGCCAGTGTTTGTCTATTGAGACTGCAAGGCTTTATGCTTAGTTTGACCCACCTGTTAGCAGTGGCAAGTGGAAATCTGTTACACAAATACATTTTTGATTTTATTAAAACACACTTTGGGTGAGTTCTCCTGTTTTCTCATGTTTTCCTACAAAGTTATTTGTGTCCAGAAAATGTACAAAAACACACAAACAAACACTCCTTTAGACCCATAGAGCTTCACTGTTCAACTCAACCTGTCTCGCTTCACCCGCCTCTCTCTGATAACCCGACTGATGGAAGTAGACCATTGCCCTCTGGACACCACTTGCAGCACAAGAGGGATCACTCAACGCCCACAAATGCTCTTACTTGGACTGGTCAGTGAAGAGGCATGGAGATGAGGAGAACAGGGAGACAAGCCTGGAGTGCTGTTCTGTGAAGTTAACTTTTTTTTTTTTGAAGTGTGAAGACATATAGGGAAAAGGAGCTGTTAGCTAGATAAGATAGAGCATTTGACAGCTTATTTCATGATTGATTAAGTTGTGTAGGACAGGATAATAGCAAAAATATAATTGTCAGTATGTTAGAGTATCTGTTTTACTGAATGTTATTTAATGTTAATCTTAACCTCAGTAATTATATAAGTTGTGCATTCCACATTTGTAAGATCTGTCTGGTGTAGGTTCACAGGCCCAGTTTCCTCCCTTTTGACGATACACACACACCTTTGCTAATAGTTGCCTCATCAGCTGCTTAGAATTCTCTTCAGGCATGTAGCAGTTTTCAAAACTTGCAGAGACGGTGGAAATTCTCTACCTTGGCTTATTAATACCCTGTACTATTCCAATAACGGTTAATGACAGTAACAACATATTTCTCTGACAAAGGCACATCGTCCACTGAGGAAAAAAAGACCTTGTGTGGAAGACGACGAGTCCTTTTCTGCATTCAACACTGTACTGGTTAGCTCTAGTGTTAGCTCAGTAGCTCATCCGAAGGGGCAGCCTCGGTTAAACGCTGGCTGTAGATCTGTTTTTAGTTTGGCCTTTTTTGGTTTTTCTTAACCAAATATCTTTTCATTATCTCTTACAGATGCCTGAAAGCCAATGTTAGTCACAATCCACATTCCTAGCTCAGGTCATATGCCACTACATATGAGAATTTCTGGCTTGTTTTCCTTTTCACAGCAGTAACCTTGTCAAAAGTGAATAAAATAAGCATTCACATATTTCGTTCTGATATTATTTCCATTACAAATGAAATCCCCTAAAAATCTGAAGGACTGAATTTTTATAACTCAAGCAGACCTCAGTTGCTTGAATCTCAAGGCCAATCCTTGAGGGATCCAGTGAACAAACTTCATACTCCCACGCTTATAGCATAGAATACAATTGGCTCCATGTCTAGTTTGGATTGAAATGAGTTCATTTACAAAGCTCGCTTTGCATACGTATGTTGTGTTATACACCAGACTACGTAAGACACAGCTGTCAAACGCGAGTCTAATACCTTGCTCTGTTACTTGACTGCTATCACCCAACCAGCACACAGACGTCTGTTTCCATCCTTTAAGCGGCGGCGCGCGCCTGCTGCATATAAAGCCTCCCGCAGCACTCAATCTCCTCTCCAGACGCCATTCCCTCCGCACACATCAGTCAATATGCAGCTCCAGACTTCAACGGCAGCGGAGACTCAATAGACGGCTGTGGATCTTTAGCATTGAAGCAGCTCCGTGCATGCTGCCAAGAGCGGCACGCGGGACAATCTCCCCGAAGCCCTGTCCGTTTTTAACCCCCATTTTTGGCTGCAAAGAAACTCAAAATCCCCTCTGCTCTCAGAAATCGATATACTAGTTAAACTGTTATTTCCTCTGTAGTAGAAGAAAAAAGAACGCTGGCCGAGGTCCCATGGTCCTGGCTGAACAGATAATTTGACAGAGTTGCCACTGAGGGGGACTCAGAGTCTTTTTTAAAGAGGCACTGTCATCGCTCTGCCGAGGCTGAGGGACTTTCGCAGTGCAGGCAAAGCTAAAGTGTCAGGCCAAGGTGCGAGCATGAAAAATGGAGGAGACGAAACGGTCAGAACGAGTAAAAATGGTGGAGGTAAAAAAAAGTCAGTGTGAGTGAAAAAGCAAAGGGGAAGAAACGGCCGGAGCGAGTGCGTGAAATAGGAGCTTCCTCCAGCCGACCGCAGCGGAAAAATTAGCGTCAGCAAAATTGAATTCGAGGAAGAAATCTGTATTCATTTCGGAGCTGGCATTTAGATCTCATTTGACTTTTTGTTTAGTTTCTTGCGTGCCTAAGCTCAGCGGCGGATCACAATGGAATTAGCTTATTAACAGCTCCACGCTGCACAGTGCTTGTGGCTTTTTAATAATTCAGTCTCGCGCTATGTTTTAGCAGAGCGTGCGTGATACGCGGCGCGACGCTCAGAGGAGCAACTCGGTGACAGTGAGAATGTAGGCCACTGACAGAGAAAAGCAGCACTCCAACCACACTGCCATATGTCACCCTCTCTGTTCTGCTTTCAAGACACGAGAATACACAACACAAAGGAGTCTGTTGATGCTCTGCTCACTTTTCAGGCCTTCAGAATCCACCCCAGCATGAATACACAGTCATACTGCATTAATTCTGCTAGCTGCTCTGCACTTGACATTGATAAATAGAAGTTAACTTTCGGTATTATCTATCTTAGATTGATCCAAAGCTAAAGATACAGTATGGAGGCTCATTCTGTATATGAGGCGTGTCTTGGATACATCTGTTGACTCTGGGGGGTTATGAGAGGTGAGGAAAGGAGACAGGTGTAAGGTGTGGTGTTGCGTTTTTAGTGAAAATGGTGTTCTTTTAAGGGTGGGTTCTGTTAATGCAGGGGCAAAAACTCTGGTCCTGAAGGGCCGGGTTCCTGCACAGTTTGGTGATTTTTCTGCTCAAGCACACTGGATTCAGCCTATCAGTTAATTACTAAGTTTGGTTGGTGTGCTAGAGCAGGGAAATCACCAAACTGTGCTGGACTTTGACCCTCAGTTCACCCCCTCTGTATTACAGTAACATTAAGTCAATGCTTGCTGAGCTAAGTTGCTAGGCAGCTAATTACTCAGTTGCTTGTTTTCTGCTGACTTAGACTTTGCTAGAAAATCTTGACAAAGAAAAAAAAAACAAATTAAAAAGCTGAGAAAAGCGGTAAAAAGCAGACAAAATCTTTTAATTAACAGTAAAATATGTTTTCTCAATGATGGTAAAAATTTGTAAAATTACAGTTCAATTTCTTAGAAATGCTGGCTTTTTAAGAGATGACTGTAATTCACCCCTTTCACTAGTTCAACTGCTTATTCTTATATTCTGACATACAGTAATCTACCATAACAATAACAGTAACAATCATTAAAATAATCGCAATTGTCTGTGAAATAAAGATCATTTGTTTGAGTGTATTTCTGTAAATTAACCACAGCAGAGTTAAAACACAGCATGTGTATGGTTTATTTACAGGAATTTAACCTTTTCTCCAAAAAACAGATCTTGACTATTCAATTTTTACAGTACTTTTACAGTGAAAATATTTACAGTGTAGCTAACAATACCTAAACGTTGTCAGCATATCGAACTCCCTAGGTAGCAAATACATCAAATTATTGTTAGCAGGTTTAAAGCCAGCTATCATCACATTGTTGCTGAAGCAAGATGCTGAAACTATTTATGGCCAAAACAATCCAAGCTGATTTAAACTGTTTGCCAAGATGAAAACTAAATGTACCTTTTTGTTTTTTGTGTGTACTAAAAAAGTGCACCGAACTTACTCAGTTCAAATCTATACATCATTTACATATGAATAAACCATCTTACGCCAACAATGTTCCACAGCCATCCTTCCACTGTGAGAAGACAACTCAGCGCTATGGGTCTGAAAGGATGTGTAGCTGTCAAGAAGCCTCACAGAGAAAAGGAGACAGACACATGAAATAAAGAAGCTGGACAATGGACTGACCACCCCAGAGTCCAGATCTCAACATCACTGAATGTGTTTGGGATTACTTGGAACATGAGAAGTAGACAATTCAACCACCTTCTAAGACTGAACTTTGGAGGTGTGGCTGCAGATTTCTTTGAGAAACTGAAAGCGAGTCTCCTGAAAAGAGTGGAAGCTGGAATAAACAAAGGTTGGACAGACTAATTATCAATAAATAAATAAATAAATAAACAAAAAAGATCTTACATTTATTTGTTCAGACTTTGTGTAATTTTCTCTTAAATATATGTTTTCTGTTATTTCCTGACACTGAAAAGTGCGTAACTTGTACTTGACTCTATCAAGCACAAAAGCAGGTCTCTGACTTTTACACATCTTCGTATATGAGGGCAAATGAATGCATATCATTTGCAAATGATATGTAAATAAGGCGCTCGCATGCTGATACTTGTTTATACACACTGATTGATCAGCTCATATCAGCATTTCATTTGATGTCATGACAGTGTTAAGAATCAGACGTGCTTGTTTATAAAGCAACTTCTTGCTCCTCTGAATTGTGACATTTTCAACACTTCTCAATCCAGTCTTGCAGAGTAAGATATGCTCTTGTTGCCAAGTTTTGTTTTAGGGGAGGCTACATAAAATTACATACTACACGGACACAAGAATGTGGACACCTGACCATCACACCCATATAAGCTTGTTGGACATCCCATTCCAAAACCATGGCCATTAATATGGAGTTGCGCCCCTTTTTAAAAGGCTTCCCACAAGATTTTAGAGTGTGTCTGAAGAAATGTCTGCCTTTTCAGTCAAAAGAGCATTCGTGAGGTCAGACACTGTGTTGGACAAGAGGGTCTGGCTTGCAATCAACACTCCAGTTTATCCAATGTTCAGTGGGGTTGAGGTCAGGGTTCTGTGCAGTCCACTGGAGTTCCTCCACACCAAACATGGCAAACCATGTCTTTATGGGACTCTGCCATGGTGGAACAGGAATGGGTCTTTACCAAACTGCTGCCACAAAGTTGGATGCATATCATTGTATAAAACATCTTTGTGTGCTGTAGCGTTAACATCACTCTTCACTGGAACTAAGGGGCCGAAACCTTGAAAAACTACCCCAGCCCATTATCCCTCCTCTACCAAACTTTTCTGTTGGCACTTTGCATTAATGGCATCCACCAAACCCAGATTCATCCATCAGACTTCCAGAAGCGAGATTCATCACTCAAGAAGCAATACAGGGTAGACGATTTTTATGTACTACACGCTCTGTGAGTTTGCACAATCCACCACTTTGTGGCTGATCTGTTGTTGCTAGACGTTTCTGTTTCATGTTTCACAATAACAGCACTTTTGATTGGCATCTAGCAGGACAGAAATTCATCCAACAACAGTGGCATGTTTAAAGCCAATAAGCTCTTCAGTACAATCCATTTTATTGCCAGTGTTTGTCTATGGGGATTGCATGCCTATGTGCTTAATTTTATACACCTGTTAGCAATGGGTGTGGTTGAAACACCTGAATTCAGTTGGCACTATGCATACTGGTAGGTTATGCAGGATAAGGCTGGGTGTCCACATACTTTTGGCCATTTAGTGTATTATTGTACATTATGCTCATGCAGTTGTTTAAACATGTCCCTATGTCTTTCAAAGAAAAAGAATGTTTGCCTTCATAACACAGTTCAACACTGGGTTCATTGCTCAGGCTCCTCTTGGGGGGAGCGGGGGGCGGGGGCCTGCTACCCAGGAGCTTTTGGGTTTGTCAAGATAATTCAGCACTCCAGCACTTGTGCCTAGAACAAAATCAAATTACCTTGGGGAGCTCGAACCAGCTAACACCTGCTTAGGAGGGAGCCCTGGGGGCAAGAGAGGTGGGAGAGCGGAACACATGGCATGGGACTGCCATTGCAGTTAGAGCGAGAAAGAGGAAAAGAGAGTTTTATGTTGGTTACATCTATGTTTCCTTCTCGGTTGTACATTTACCCATTTTCCACACTGCCGTGTTCCTGTTTTCCTCCCAGGCATGGCCTCCTGTACCCTTAGTTCAGCATCTTCATCGCCGACTGCCTCTTATTTCAGCAACACTTCTACTTTTGCCATTGACTGGATCTCATGACAGTACCAACCTTATTATCCAATAAGTTCCAATTATGGCACACCAAACCCTGGAGGGCCCTCACCCAGCACACAGTAGTGTTTATCCTGCTGTAACACGCTCATTTCAGCTCACCAGCTATCAAGTCTGTTTCTGACGCGAATCTAGTGTTTAACCCCTGGAAGTCAGCAACAACATAACAAAAGACTGGTGTAATTTTAGAAGCAGTGCTTAAAGAAGCAGTGTGAGAACTGCAGATGTCTTGACATCATAACATAAAACAGTGAAAATCAAATGTAAATGTAACTCATCTATGTAATTAATGTATGTTACTGTGTAGTTACATCTGTATTGCAACAGTATACAATCCACAGTGAGAATAAACCCAGACTTGCATTGTTTAAAATATATGAACAGTAAAAGTTTGCTGGGATCACATCTCCAACATCTTGTACTTGAAACAGGACAACAGATTTGACATTAGACTGTAGATTTTAAAGGTTGCTTACATACTGGCCACTTTACTAGAAACTCCTTCTGTTTAGCATAAAGAATAACAATCATTTATGTGTTTGCCACATTTTCCTTTTTCAACATACAGAGAAAAATGAGAGGTGCAAACTTAAAAATACCGATGCAGAATGTAGATTCAATGTAATTGTTATTATATTACTATGTAATAATTATGTTACTATGTAATTACTTTTAAATAATGATGTAACTACATCTCATGTAGAGCAAAATGGCAATAACTCTTAGTTCTTAGTCTTCACTGCAGGGAAACTCTAAACTAAAGATGTGCATAAGGGTTCTTTAGAGAGATGCTGTCGAAGAACCACTTTCGGTTCCCTATGGCTAGTTCCTTGAAGAAGCATTTGAGGAAATGAGATATGTGAGTGTGAAGGACCTTTTCAAAGTTTGAAGCACCTCCAAATAAAGGCTTTTCTTAGAACAGCTCTAGTTTTCAAAAGACAGAGACCATCCCTTGTTTATTCAATTTCCAGTCAAAGCAGCCATGAGCAGCTAGTATCAAATCATATTCAGTATTTAGTGTCCACTAGTTGCCCTTAGTAGAGCTCACACTCTTTTCAAAAGACTTACTTTCAGTTTTTTAAAGAAATCTGCAGCCACATCTCCAAAGTTTAGTCTTAGAAGTTGTTTGTACTTTCTGCTTCACATGATGTTGAGGTCTGGACTCCTGGGTGGTCAGTCCACTGTTCTGAGAACACCAGTAACTTCTTTGTTTTGCACATGTTCTTCTGTTTTGTCTATTTCCTTTTCTCAGTAGGGACATTTTGGCAGCTACACATCCTACATACTTATACCTAACCTCCTTAGAGAAAGAACTTGTACTCAATGGCCATTTTGACTGAAAATTAATGAAATGAAGGGGGGTCTCTGACCTTTGCACAGAATACTGTTTATGTCCAAACCAATAACAGTTCAGGAACCTTTATTATGAAGTGTATTCAAGTCTGTTGGCTCCCTAGAACTTGCACATCCTTGTTATTCTGAAGCAGAGCAGAAACCCAAAGACAGTCAGTGATACTTACTGACTTGGGAATCTCCCACAATGCACTGAAACACAAGCAGCTCTTTCCTGAAACATCACTGGAGCTCCGAGAGTTCCCTGGCATGCCTCCACATGACGCACTTGTATTTTTGTTCTTTTTCGCAAAGGGTACTTGTGCAAGTCCACGGTTTCCCTCGACAACGCCACAGTTCTCACCACGGCAACCCACCCATCCTTCAGCCTCGTGAAGCTCCAGGCCAGACAAACCGTCCTCACCCGCCTGAACAACTACATATTTTTTTAATGTCTCAGCTTTTGAGAGGGAAGGCCCATTAGAGGCCTGAAATCGATAGACAGCTATTTAATTTGCTCTCGGAGCGGGTGGAGTGTGGATTGGATGAGAGAAGCACAATGCTCATCGCTTCTGTCTTTCATTCAAGAGTGGTGTCATTATGGGTTTCATACAGCAGCTGCAGACTGACTGAGTCTGTGTGTAGTTAGCTGAGGGTGTTGAGCACTGTATGTTATTATATGTATGTGTGATTGTTTCATAATTATTTATAAGACTGGGTATTTAGAGCATGGTCCTCTGCACACAACATGATTTGTCCGAATGTCAGTTAATTAGAACACATGTACAACTGATGTCTTGCATATCAAACTTGATTCTTCAGACAGTGAAAATGCAACATGCTATTGGCCACTTTATTAGAAACACCAACCTTGTGCTTCCACTCACTGGCCACTTTATTAGAAACATCAACCTTCTGCTTCCGCTCACTGGCCACTTTATTAGAAACATCAACCTTCTGCTTCCACTCACTGGCCACTTTATTAGAAAGACCAACCTTCTGCTTCCGCTCACTGGCCACTTTATTAGAAACACCAACCTTCTGCTTCCACTCACTGGCCACTTTATTAGAAACACCTACCTTGTGCTTCCACTCACTGGCCACTTTATTAGAAACACCAACCTTGTGTTTCCACTCACTGGCCACTTTATTAGAAACACCTACCTTGTGCTTCCACTCACTGGCCACTTTATCAGAAACACCAACCTTGTGCTTCCGATTACTGGCCACTTTATTAGAAACACCTACCTTGTGCTTCCACTCATTGGTCACTTTATTAGAAACACCAAGCTTGTGCTTCCACTCACTGGCCACTTTATTAGAAACACCAACCTTGTGCTTCCACTCACTGGCCACTTTATTATAAACACCAACCTTGTGTTTCCACTCTCTGGCCATTTTCTTTGCTTCATCTACCTTAAAGCTCCACAATATATATGTACTATTACAGACTGTAGTCCATTTGTTACTCCACAGCTAATCAGCCCCCCTATACTACATATACCATTGGTCAGTTTCTGACCACAGGACCACTTTGTCCAGATATTATCCTCTGCACAGCAGTGACACTGACAGTAGTGTGGTGTGTGGTGCTGATATGAGTCTATGAGACCTACCTTGTGCTTCCACTCACTGGCCACTTTATTAGAAACACCTACCTTGTCTTTCCACTCACTGGCCTTACTGGGGTTTTTACACACGTCAGTGTAACTGCGAAGTTGACCACCCAAAGATGTCCAACCAAGAGCGGCTCTGCTGTCAGAAACTGACCAATGATGAAGGATTAATAAATGGCCAATACAAAATGAGTACAGACTGTGCTATAGTCTAGAACTGTACACCAGCGAGGTAGAGCTACAAGGTAGGTGTTTCTTATAAAGTGGGCTGCGCGATCTATAAATTAAGCTTTAAAACAATGTATGATTGATTGTGTTCGTTGTAACTGAGACCCCTAAGTCCCCTGCATTTGCCAGTGGGTAATGTCTATGGAAATTTCCTTTGTGTCTGAGTTGTTCATATTCATGTCTGGCGCCCTGAGTATTCATGGAGACATTGCCATTTATTGGCATTCAAGAGGTATTAACTAAGGCTGTAATCAAAAGCATGCGGCGCCTGGTGAACACCTCATCTGCTTGATTACATAAAAAGCACAGACATGAGTCAGTCTCGGTGGTATTCTAACAACTAAGTCAGCTGTCTGATTTGTCTTGCTTCTTTTCGCTCGAAAAACTTGCATGGCACAAATTTGCAAAGCAGAAATCCCACAACATCAAATGTGTAAAACAATTATACTTCTATTGGATGTCAGTTAAACCTTGATCATGTCCAAAATGTTCTTGAGTGTTAATGTGGAAGTTCTTTGAGCAGTAAACAGAAACAGAAAACTTTTCCTTTTCCACAAATAGCGGCATTGTTTACGAACATTCAAGTCATGTAAATGCTTGTGCAAGGGTGGGCGATATGGCAAAAATGTAATATCACGAAGTTGAAATGGACTAAATGTACCTGCAAAATAGTACCATTCTTAAGAAACTCTGCAAAAAATGTCATGATGTGCTTCCATCTTAGTCCTATGCAGTTTATTGAGCTATACACTGGTTGTTGTCGTTTACAGGCTCTCTAAAAATAATTCAGATCTGCTTTTTTATGATATATCCTGTTGTTCAGTGTTCTAGAAGTGCTGATGAAAAGCATATCATGGCGTAATTTATCACAGTAACAAAAAACATCATCATATTGCCCATTTTTATGCTTGAAGGCCCAAAAAACTAGGGGCATTATATATAATACATACCACTACTTGCTAGCAAATATAGGCTTTTTTAACTTACCCAAAGCATTCAAGGAATGTTTGTACCCTAGTACATCCTAAATAATCAAGAAATTAACCACTCAATGAAGAGGAGGTTAGGCTATCAGGTGAAGATTTTATACTTGCCATTTGACCACTCGGTGGTCGGGAAACTAAATTTACCATTCAGGATGTTTCAGTTCTGACAGCAGAAAGTAGCACTAAAAGAAGTGTCTTCAACTCCAGTCCTGAAGGGCCAGCATCCGGCACAGATTGGTGATTTCCCTACTCAAACACACCCACTAAAATGGCAATTAACAGTAGAGATGAATCAGCTGTGTTTGAGCAGGGTAATCAACAAACTGTGCTGGATACTGGCAACTAGACTTGAATAATCCTGCATCAGTGGTGTAGTCAAATTTTCAATTTGGAGAGTTTGGGGGTCTGGTTACTGGTTGGGGAACCAGCTAGGAAGCATTATGTCTCAAAACATGACCACAGTGAGGATGATGACATGAACTAGCCTACTTAATTGTAGCTACTAACGCTGCTAATGTTGCTATGGTCTCTGAAAGTTGTCGATGACCTAATTCAGCTTTGTTAGA